TTTTGAAAGAAATACATTTTGATCAGGCATAGCTAGATTGATTCTGCAGTTGATGCTGATCAAGAATATATATGATTTATAGGGTCGGAAATGACTCCTTCAGTGAGTAGCATGCTTTTGACTAGAATGATAACACCCAGAAAGGGTATAAAAATACCTAGGCAACAGAATGTCTAAAAAGTGTGTGCAGGTGTGATGCTGGAGAGTAAAAAAAACAACACTCAACTTCCGTAGAGGAAAAAAGGGGTACAGGGATGCTGGGTAGCCAAGTAAACAAAAGCAAACATTGCGTGCCAAAATTCCGGAAATTTTTAAGAGTCACAGCATGTGTAAGCTGAATTTTTACAAGCAGACGCACACACACACAAAAGCACACACCCTACACCCCAATTTAAGGTTCTTCCCGAAAAACTCACAACCCTCTGTGCCATGTTTCCTGTCTAAGTGCTAAATTGAAATTCCAAAATTAAGTAATTTCTCCCAAGGGCAACTTCTGCTGGAAATCTTTACCAAATACTCACAGAGTGGGCGTGGTCGGCAACGCTCCCATAAAAACAACAACGACTACAACAACGTTGGGAAAATAAACAATAAAAACAGCAACAACAATGAGTTGCACTAATAGTTTGTGTGTGTAGAGGAAGCTTCTTCTTTGGGCGCATAAAAGAAAATCCAAAAAACTGTGAGAAGAACCGACAGCAACCGGATCAACATGAGAACAAGCTGTAAAAATTATAGGGAAATAACAAACGACACACACTCATATACATAAGTATTCTGTTACGGACATTAAAGCTAACGCCCAGAGATTGGTTGTAGCTAGTGACTCGCATCATTTAATCCTAAACTAGACAGGAGACATAAAAATGCCTGGCAGTTGAGAGACATATAAAATAGAGATGAATTTGTAACTGGGATAAAGAATCCAATGGAAAGAGCAAAGTATTTCCCTTGGATTTAATAGTAGGAGTTGGAATTTAATTACTTTAATAGTATTTGTCATATATAAAGAGCTCTTATCAACCTCAAATTCCCTTTTGCTTGCATTGCAATTGAAAGAACTAAATCCTACTTATTTCACTCCTTCTCGAATGCAAGTCCTTATTTGGGTTAAGCCAGTGGATACTTAATCAAAATCGAAATGGCTCAGCAACACTTTCTATGTCTGCTATGTCTTCCAAAATCGAAAGTTTCCCAATTCATTTCGCCTTTCGCCATTCTAGCCACTTTTATTCCGAACATTGTCGCCGTTCTTCGTCCTGTTTCAGTTAACTTCAAGGAGCTGCTCCTTCAGTTTCCTCTATATTTTTCAATTTAAATGATGGAGGAGCAGCAAAAAAGAAAAAAATAAGAAAAGAAGCCAAGACGAAAGAAGGAAATGACGCTTCACACTCGAAGACGGGGGTTCCGGGTCCTGGCTGCCAAAATATATAAGAAAAAAAAAAAAAATGAATTGAGGCTAAAAAAAAAAAAAGGAAAAAGGCAAAGGGGGAAACTTAAACACTTCTTGCATTTTTCTTATGGCACGACAACTATTTATTGCCTCGCCCAAGCCCCAGACGAAGCTGTCCGGATGGATGCCATGTTGTTGCTGCTGTTGTTGCCACTGATGTTTACTTTTGTAGTGGCAACAACAAAGTTGTTTGATATAGCCGACGGCAAGAGCTTCCTACACCCAAGAAAATGGCTAAAACTAATTCTTAGGCAAAGAGTGGTAGGGTAATGGGGAAATTAGTATTAGTTAGGGATTAGCTAAAGTTTAACAAATTCTATTGAAGTTGATTATTTGAAAAGGATATTGCCCTGGAAATGCATTAGATTTAGTTTTAGATACTGATTAAGCTCGGTTCCTGCTTGCGCTTATAATTCCCAAGTAGATATTGGCTATAAGGAAGTTAGAGTCCTTTCACTTGAGTAAAAGATAGTAAAAGTGTTACAAAAGGATTCTATAATATATAGTTTCAATATATACAAATATCTTTAATAGATATATATTTAAATATATAGTTTATACGCAAATTAGGCCTCATAATATAACAATGCCAACATTTTTCTAAGTGCATGACAACCATTTCGGATGTGGACTACGACGATGATGATGACGTTTGGGGCGGTTGGCCAATGATGGTGTCGGAGCGTTGGTGATGATGAAAAATGCACATGTGTTACTAACGGCCCGATTATTTTTATTGTTTATTTACTTTGATTTGGCTCTTTTGGTCTTTTGTGTGCTGTTTGCCATCATGTTCATGTTTTTATTTGCCACTACCGGACCCGTGGCCATGTTCTTATACGGGTTATTCGGGTTCTTTTTGGGTATCGGGTTTGTTTTTTGCTTCTGGGTTTCGGGTTTGGTTTGCGCATTTGTGCGTAACGAATAAATTTAGCAAAATAAATAAGGACAATAATCCCTTTGAATGCATTGCAATTGAGCTTTTTACAGCCATTGACTATGGCCCCCCTCCGCACGCCAACCCTCCGTACACAGATGTACATACGTACGTACGTACGTGTGGCACTTAACTCAACATTGTTGGCCGGGCTTAGAAAGCATTTGCCTCTTGGCCAGGATTCCATTCCGTTTTTGAGGGGTGGAAAGACCAAGGTCCAGCGTTTCAGACCCAGCAGATGGCATTCAATTTCTGGATTGATTTGCATTTCAATTCCAAATCAAATTTTTCAATTGCCCGCACACACACACACACTCTCGCCCTCTGTGCATCAATATGTGTGCTAAGTGGCTGCCCACACACACACGCACACACATACGCACACATTCAGCTTAATTCAATTTGCAATGGCAAGTGTGGAAAAAATTCATAGCATACTTTATAGCGCTGCTTGACCGAATCGAGTCATCGCACTCATGGCACTCACACACTCGCACTCCCCCCCTCTATAATTGACAAAAGCTGCGCTCCATGTTCTTCGAAATTTGAAATCAATTTATTTTATATTGAGTTAGCTTGGTTCCCCATCCACGAAATAGCATTAACCTTTTGCCAGCAGCAGCTACATTGTGTAAAATCGAAATCGATACGACATTGATGCTGAGCGATGGCGGGGCAATTGACGGGGAGGGGGGCCTTTTGCCATCCAGCCAATTGCAGTGTCAGCGCTAAAGTCAGCCAGCTCCCCTCTTGTGCCACAAAACTCGTATGCTCTTATTTGTTAAATTAAAAGCATCTCAAATGCACACTGGTTTTAGAACTATATGTCATAAAAAGGATACTCTGTTTTGGTGTAATATATAAACATTGCTCTTTTAGTTATTTAGTAACAGCAAAGATTTAGATTTATATTTAGTTTCAGAAGAAACTTATGATACTTCAGGCCTGACTTTAGTTAAGTATTAATATTTTATAGATAAAGGTATAGAGTATTACTGCCTTTGTTTTACCCCGAAATTTTTCTTTTAAGGGATGCAATATTTGTATTGCTTTAATTAAATTTGAGTGCTAATTATTATTAAAAGTTTAATTTGAACCAGTGTGCAGTGCCATGCAATTGTTATTGCTGTCCGGACGGTGGAATCATCATCCGGCTGCTCATCATCATCGTCGTCTTCATTGGCCATTATTGGCTCCAGAGCGCACAAGACTTTCAATTAGTTTTATTAGGGTGTTCCAAACATTCCATTGACTCAAAATCAAGGGGTGAGCTGGAGAGGAATAGAGCTATGGGGCATGAGGGGGTTCAACTGTGGGTTCATTGTTGTTTACGGCCCGATGCTTCTGTTTGATATTGGCCTTTTGACTTTTATGCTTTTTTTTTGTTGGTTCGGTTTTGGCGCAATTTTTGTTTTGTGGTTGCGGCTCCTGCTTTTATGGAGGAATGGGGGCCTTTTCGGTTGTGCGATTGTTTTTGAGTTTTATTGGAGCTCAGCTTATTGTTGTTTTTGGTTGTTAGGCGCATGGTTGCGCAATGCCAACGCACCGAAAATAAGTGAAATATTATTTATAATGCCCATGCTGTGTATGTGCGGAAGCACATTCACGTTTCATTCATGTTTAAGCAGCAATTATGGGCCACACAATGACTCGGCAAAAGGGGAAATTGTTCGAGCTTAGAACATAGGAAATATATAGAAGTTAATTAAGCCAATTACATGGAATAGATTAAATGAAAATGAAAACTTATAGATATCTTGAAACTGACTTTAAGTGTGTCTCATTGTTAATTTAACTGTTTTGTGTAGACTTAAATCTCTTTGCAAAAGCAATATTTAATTTATGTTACATTTCTCCTTGTAAAATCACTTATAAATAATTAAGTAATCTCTTTAATTATTCTTTAATAATAGTTTTCAACTTTTACAAAAAGTTCTGCCAGCCCTGCCCGTATTGGTCAACTTTTTGATACTTTTAAAACTGTTGTTTTTTTTCTTGGTCCTACCAAGTTGTAAAAAAGTTCCCAAGCTCATTTCATTTCTCTGAAGAGTATTTCAGCCCCTCAGTCTTCGCCTCCTCGACCGTATTTTGCCCAGTGCTATAATTTCCACTTTATGACTTTTGTATTGCCAAACGCCGCTGTCCCTGCCCCAAGATCTTGTCCCCTTCGCCTTCGGTTGGTGTGGCATGTGGGGCAGAGTTGAAGGCAACAAATGTTTTTGACACGACAAGTCTATGGGTCAAATGGGTGAACCCTCCTCGGTTCACTTTTTTTTGCATGATTTTTTATATTTTATTTTATTTTTTTGTCACTGGCTGACGCCTCCCCCTTGCTACTTGAGCTAGAAAAAAGTTTTGTGCGAAAAAGTTACGGTGAGCCGAGTCTTGCGAGGATCTCGGTTGCCTTGGCTGCGGGTTCAGCACGGCTGCTTGAACTTCCAAGCCAAGTTAGGACCGAGTCGAGCCTGGCTGATTATTGAAAATGTGGCGACACCGCCGACGGTCCAGTTTGCACATAATTCAAGGCGGAAATATATATATATAGTTGGTAGCTGGGAGAGGAAAGTTTTTTGCCTCAAACTTTATTTTTCACTTTTCTTCTCGTTGCAGTTGCAGAAAGTGAAGGGACAGCTAAATAAGTTGCAATGTAAAGAGCCCTCCGAAAGGACGAACAGGACTTGTCAACGAGCTGTAGAAGCAGCTGCCACTGCCACGATTGACAGGACAAAAACAAAGGGGCGCAAGGACTTCCCGCTCGAGTGGCACAAGCAAGTTTCCTCGGATTTTTCCACCCTCTCCCTCTCCCGGCCCTCGGAAAACGGCAGCAACGGGGCGCAATGTGCTGGCCAAATACCGAAGTCGAAGAATAGAAAATCACTTGCCGAAAAACAAAACATAGAAGAGATAAAAAACAAAAAAACATAAAACGTAAAAAAAGAGCAAGGACTGCGGTGCAGCATATGTGTTTTTCAGTGCGCTTTCTGTGATGCCACAAGGACACAAGGACACTTCAAGTGACAGCAACATTCGCGAGTTTTTCGTTCGCCAAGAGTCTTCCATCTAGGACGCAGCAGGAGCAGGAACAGCAGTATGCGCAAGCACAAAGCGCCGCCCAGCGGCAGTCCAAGGACAATGCCCCAGGACACAGCATCACAATCGTCGGAGGAGGCAGGAGTCGGAGACTCACCCCATAACGGGCAGGCTCCTCTGCTGCTGGGCCACCATGCCCCCGCAGATGCCACCGCAACAGCAGCAGCAAAAGCAGCAGCAGCTAGTCGCCTGGCCCCGCCCCTCTGTCAGCCTCCCATCGTCAGTGGCAAGGAGCGACCGCGTCCCTCCGTCCGGTTCGCCTCCCTGCTGCACGTGGCCAGCTACGTGCTCTGCCTGTGCGCCTTCAGCTTCGCCCTGTACGGCAACGTGCGGCAGACGCGGCTAGAGCAGCGGATGCAGCGCCTCCAGCAGCTGGACGCCCGCATCGTCGAGCTGGAGCTGCGTCTTGAGCAGCAGCAGCTGCTCCACTGGCCCGCTGACCAGACGCAGATCCTGGCCAGCAGTTCCGGTGAGAGTGCCGCCAGCAGCAATGGCAGCCAGCAGCATTTGGCGTTGCACGTGCGCCGCGAGCTGCATCGCCTGCGACGGGATGTGTCGCATTTGCAACTCACGCGACGGCAGCAGCGGCGTCAGGCGGCCGAGGCGGCGGCAGCGGCCAGCATCGAAGGTGGATCCGGTAATGGCCAGTGTCAGTGTCAAGCAGGTGAGTTCACACAAAAGAGCTATCTATCAGTTTAAATTTAAAAGATTGATAATAAGACTTTAAATATCAACCATAATTAACGAGTTAGTTTCCACTTGGTTAACCCCTAGATCGTCCTTTGTTTGAGCTTCATTTGAGTGCTTCACAACCGGAATTTGGCTTTAATAAGGCAGCCTTTCGCCGCCACCGCTGACAAGCGTTTCCCTTGCCAACTTATTGGGATCTCCTGTCAATTTGACAGCCACATTGTTGGCCATGAGCCGCCTACATTTGCGGTCAGCGCGCAATTGGTCAGAAAATGTCAGACGCAGCCACAACCATGGTGGTGTGTGTGTGTGTGTGTGTACACCCACCGCCAGCAAGTCAACAAGTCGTCCTTGTGTCCGTCTATGTAAGCTTATTGTGTCCTTGTGTGTGTTTGAGTGTGTGCGTGGCGTGTGGGCCACGAAATTTAATTATTTGCGTCCGGGCCAAATTTATGGCAGTTTAGAGATTTCATTAATTGGAAAAGTGTTTTCCCAACCGCCCCACACATAAGCGAGGAAAAGTGGAAGCAATGGCAGGGAGTTGTTGTATGAAAGTCTGGGTTTATTGGGGCAAAAGTGAGGGAAGGTGGCCATGCCCCGCCCTATTTTGTGTCCATGGATTGGGATGGAGCCTCTGTTCTTGCCAATTTTTTTCTGGCTAGCTTTTTTTTTCTTGCTTTCATCCGGGTTTTCCTTTGGCTGCCCGTCTCTGGTGACATTACCGAAACTTTGATTACTCGGGGATTAGCAGAGCACTCCCCAGCACACACACACTTGCATAAATAAAGGCAAGCACTGAGAGAAAAGTGGGGTTTATAACTAATATATAAATTGGTGATGATTGATTTTTAATCCCACTTACAGCCTTGATATTCCTTTTAAATTATACATAAATCTTTGATTGAATCTTTAAATGGAATCATAATTATATATTATATTTCTTGAGTGCTTTGAATATCCTTTTTTGTATTACAATATACTGATTCTTTTCTCAGTGCTTGGAGAGTGGGAACTGAAGCTCATGGCTGCCAGTTCGCCTTGTGGTTTGCATAAATTTCGCTTAAAATACTTTTTGAAAACTTTTGCGACACTCACAACGCACGCTGCTCCAGCTCCAGCTTCTGCTTCTGCTCCTGCTCCTGCTGCACAAGCTCTCTCTCCTTGTACTCGCCCCTGACCTTTGGGAGTTGGAAATGGCAGATGTGGGTGAATGTGGGTTGTAGCTACACCCTTGGCAATCCGCCACCATTTTGCCAGTCTGGTCGTATTAACGCAATTTGTCTTGACATTCGCACAATTAACTCACCCGCTAAGCTGCCGGACAAACTTTTGCGGCTAATCCCGGAGTCCTTTGCATGCATTGAACTCACGCTGCCCCCAAAGGAGCAGCAGCAGGACAAAAAGCATATGACGCATACGCAGTAAACGCCAGGCGCAATTATTTAACAACTTTGGCAATTCCAGCAGGGGAGCGAGTAGCCTTCAGACAAGATAGGACAAAAAGTTTTATAATCGATGCGCTCGCAGGTCGAAAGTTTTGCCCCTCTCGGTCGAAGTTTCTTTTCAAAGTCACTGCATATAAATAAATTTCTCCCACTCGAAGGGGCTTCCTCATCCTCGACTAAAGGACCTCCTTGATAAGCGCGTGCCAGGCGCCAGGATACAGCCTTTTCACAACTCTAAGCCCTGTACAATAAATCAAAGCAGTTGCGGGACGGCGGCAGGACTTGTCACTTATCCTGCTTATCTGAAGCGTAGACGATGCGGCAAAGTCATCATCATCATCATCATCATTGGCAAAGTCTGGCTGGAAATTCCATTCCCCAGATATGCAAGCTTCGAAATTGTTGTCCACCCAAGGATCTCGATTGGCTGCAAAGTTCATGTCAAGGACATTGCAGCTGTGGCTTCAAAGCCAAAAGGATATGCCGGCGACTGCCGCATTCCGATTAAGTCGATTAGTTTTTGGTTTTATCGACGTTTACCCCCACTCCCCCCAAGCTTTGCAGTTTGGAAAATTGATAAAATTAGTGCGCCAGCAGTTGAGAGTGGAGTGCAATGGCATCGAAGGAAGCATTAAAAGCAAGCCCACATTTTCAAATGCCAAATGGAAGTGAACAGTGGAACTGGCACTTTATAGCTGAAATGGTTAATATGGTAAATAAATATTTTCTGCCATAAATATTAAGCCAAATATCTACCAAAGCCACTCATGTGCATGAAATTTTTGTGGATATTAAAGCGTTCAACTTTAATTATCTAAAATGTTCTGCATAAAGTATTTTGATTTTTTTCAAACATATGAATATAATTAATTATCTGTGCTTTGAATAAGTTTATTTGGGAAATGCAGCTGATTAAATAGAATAAAATAATAAGCAGAAAATTAAATTACATCACATCTACTTTAAAATTAACTGGGTTAGCTATGCATATTAAACATAGCGAGACCAGCTGTGATAAAGTTATAATTTGATTAGCTTTAGAAGAAATTAGAAACATTAATCAGGGAAAAAGAAATTTTAATGAAAACTGTGAAAACACTTTTCCTTTGGGAACTGCAGCTTAATGTTGCCAGCTTTTCGTCCTTCATTTTTATGAGCAACCTAATTTTTTAGCATTCCAAATTTATGACGTTTCCCATGGTGCAGCCTCAAACACACACACATAGAGAGAAGGGGACACGGCTTGTCAAACTGCAAATGACATTTGGCCACTTCTCATCTGCTCTACTCGCATCCTGATGCATCCTAACGGCTCCGTGGTTCCCAGTTTCCGAGGGTTGAAGCATCGGAGTTTAGGTAACGTTACGGATACACGGAGGTCCTGGGGTCCAGCTTGGACGTACGTCTGTCCAGCTGAAAACCCTCAATTTATCATTGCCGAGCGCAAAATCCACTTTAGCAGCCAGAGCAGCGAGCTTCGTTGCCTGCGTGTGACATTTTGCAAAGCCAAAATATGTAGAACATGCCACAGAGACACATCCAGATGGACAGGGACGTAGACGAGGATGGGCATTGGGGGGGTTGGCAATGGCAATGGGAATGGGATGGGAGTACGTGGATGACGACTCCACAACAGACACTCACCACGTACCACACACTCACTCACTCACTCATTCACTCACTCAGAGCGGCAGTTAGGGAAAATGGCATATGAACTATGGAAATTCCCAATTAGGTTTTAATGCGTACAAGTGCTTTTTATTCACTGCAATTTCTCACAGGGCCACAACAGACTGGCAGGATGAGTGGCTTCTCTAGGAATTCAGCTCACGATCCGTGTATCCCAGGGTAAAAACTCTGGCAAACATCGCATCCTCACCCCAAACCCCCTGATGTTTGTGTCTGTTGCGTTTATTTGCCAGTCATAAATTTCAATCACGTTGCCTTGTCGGGGGATAACACCGAGTGGATATACTCCATATATCAGCTATGCTCGCCTGATTTTCACCATATCCCTGCATATGCTCTTTTCTCTGTCTGGTAGCACCTGCCAACCCCTCATCGGGCTTAGACTTTCCTTAAACAGAACCGAAAAATGTGCTTAGGATGGTTTCTTAATTTAAAAGGAGAGGTTGTGTCTTAAGCATTTAGTCTACACTAAAGGTGGCAAATGTACTTTAACATTTTTCAATTATTATTTGGATTGCTTTAATGTTGTATATATTTTTTATTAAATCACTAGACACTCTTCTTTTTCTCTATGTACATGAGACCTGCGGTTCTTTAGGGCGTGTCAAAGCAGCAGAAATGATAAAACCTAACCCTGGTCCTTCGAGCGTGCCCACAAGAGGCTTGTGTGTGTGTGTGTGTGTGTGTGTGGTTTTCGGACCACATGGCACACCGCACCACACCTCGATCCTGGCATTGGGTTTCCCAGTATCGATTGTCGCTGTGCATCAATTGATTTCCTTTTCGTTTTCAATTTACCAGGAACACAAATTTTTGTTTATGCTCCTTTGCCGGCCATCGGAGGATGGTCGTTAGTTTGTGTGTTTTGGGCAATTTGTGACTTTGCGTGACTTTTGGCTCACCTGCGTGGCCACCGCGCCTTGATTGCCATTTAAATGGCGCGCTAATAGGCCAATAAACCATTTCGTTGCACAAAGGATATCGGCAGTAAGCCGAAATGAAACTGAAACCGACACCGACAGAGAAACAGAGCCAGAGCCAGGGCCGGAGCAACAACAGCAACATTTATTAATTAGTGAGAAAAAATTAATGCGCAACTGTCATCATTACTCCTGCCCTGCCCCATTGGATGCCTGTCTGCTCTGGCGGGGATCGGGATATGCCCTGGGTCTGATGTTTCCCCCACACACATAAACACACACACACAGAGAGAGGACACCCTCGTTGGCCATCGTTGGCCACATTTGTTGACAAATTTATTTGTCGTGTGCCATGCCGACACGCCCCTACCGACCATCCCGCCCTCCCCCAGGCCTCCTTCTCCACTTTTGTTTTATTTTATTTTATTTGTGGTTCCAGCCATCGCATCACATCGTCCCAAAAGCCATCCCATCGATGTGCGTGGCTCGTGGTTCGGCATTCTTTTGGTGGAGAAAAAATGCTATTAAAAATATCACAAGAGCCCTGGCGAGAGCAAACTAAAAGAGAAAGAAATAAAATAAGGCAAAAATAAATTCATTGGCAAAACCAAAAACACACAGAAAAAAAAAAGAAAAACAAAGGCAACTGAAATGAATTACCCAGAAGAGGAGGCAAGGAATTTCATAAATTTCATCCTGATTGCGTTTGCGGATTTATGGGTTATATAGTACTCCATATAGGAACGTCAACGGAGGCAGACTTTTATTTTTGGCACGTAATGCCGCTTTTTTTCTCTCGGACAGGCATTGGGATCATTTTAATGAGCCAAAAGTGTAATTTGTCTGACTGGGAATCTTTTAAGCCTGTTGGCCTGGGTGAGTTCATTTAAATTCAAGAGCGCTCGAAAGTTATTTTTTTA